TTCATAAGCTTATGTCTCAAATGATTAGATTCTGTCAGTGACAAAAGTTATATAAATTTTTGCATAAAGATGATTTATATGCAAGCAGTACAGTTTACCAATTAAGGAGTTTCATTATTGTTATGCCATAGAAAAATAAATGTGCTATCTTCCCTTCCGTTCATCACTGTCAAGCAGTTTTTGCCGAGCAGCCCACCGTAGTCGAAGAGCATAACGTTGAACAGAAGTTTTCCAAAACTCCGTCAGAGCTTCTCTGAAGAAGGCATGATTAAGCAGAGACCTGAAGGAAGCCTCAAAGTGAAGGAGATGAAGAAAGGCAGGGCTGGGGGGGAGAGCTGTCCTCTAGCAGTGGGGAGGGCACGTGCCAAGGCCCTGTGGTGAGGGAGAATTAGAGCTCATACCTCCTGGGGTGTTGGGAAAGTTCAGTGAGATCATTCCAGTGAGGCGCCAGTGCTCTCCACGGCGGCCTCGCACAGTAAGCACTCAGGTGTTAGTTACGAGCAGCTCTCATTTTGAGGCTGTCTACACAGTGGTATCTCGAAAGCCTGCATGTGACCTTTCTGCTTCTCCAGTAGGAATGGGGACAGTGACACTGCCTGTGATCTTTCTATGAGTCGTCTCCTCCCTCTGTGCCATTCCTCCCTCCTGCCCTCCATATCTGCTAACTCCCTACTGGGTTCTGCCCAGCACCCTCCTCTTTTATCCAGCCTGCAGTGTTGCTGTGCATCAGGCAGCACTTCAGCGCGTATCTCTGTCCTGGGGTCTCTAAGAAGATTCAGTGGGACTTGTAAATGGCCCTGATGAAGTTACTCAGGAAGCTGGCTGTGGCCCCCAGCACTGCGGGCATTTAGAAGGTGTGAGACACAGGGAATTCCCTGGTGGTCCAGTGGTTAGGACTCTGCGCTCTCACTGCCGAGGGCACAGGTTCGATCCTTGGTCAGGGAACTAAGATCTCGCAAGCCCCGCGGTGCGGCCCAAAAAGGTGTTAGGCGTGGCCTTTCCTCTTGGACCTTCCTTCGGTCTCGCTCTCAGCTTGCTGTGGCGCTGGGTCCTCACTGTCTGACAACCTGCCAGAGGACCGGCCGGCCTCTGCTGCTTCCACATCCTCTTCCCTTAGTATTCCCTCCCACAAGCCTGCTGCCTTGAAAGGAAAAAAAAAAAAAAATCCAGTGAAACTCTGAGGTGCACCTTATTGAGATTCTCATGGGAGGTCCTGGGGCACTGCCTCGAGCTAGCACCTTGATGCTGGTTTGCATCCAGTTCATGGGTTCTGAGCAGGGTCCTGACTCAGCAGAGATCCCTTGGATTGCTTTTATGCATGAGTTTTGAAAGCAATCATACATAGCAGTGCTTGAATTACTAAGATGCTTGAGGACAGTCTTTTGCCGAAATACCCAGAGGAATGGAAGCATGGTTTGATGCCAACTTCAGAGGCTTTTCACATCCTCCAGTGGGCGTTAAGCAGATTAACAATTTATTGTGTATAGCCTTCATCCCTCCTGTTGCTAGCCCAGGAGGCCTAAACTAACCATTGTGTGAATATCCACAATGTTTAATGTGTTAGACCTGGGGATACGGATTGCACCCCAAATGTCCATCTTGTAAACTCTCTGGGCACATATTAACAAGTTTAATCAACAAAAATGCACTATAATCTTGTAGCTGGTAGAGAAATGAGCAAAGGCCCCTTCCTGCACCATCCTTCTCATCCAGCACACACAGAGGCTGCCGGGTCTGTGGCCTTGTTTGGGGACTGAGGGCGTGGGGACTGCATGAGGCTGTCTTGGCACTCTCACTGCGGTCTGCCCCCTCCTGCCCCCTGAAGTCTAAAGGTACCCCATCTTGTATCACGTGCGTGTATTTGCTTTGGTTGTGCACCTTGCATGCTCTCAAATCCTGGAGACTCTAATTACAGCCTTCTGGTTGGTGGAGGGTGGGGAATCCTAATTTCTTCCTCCTGCCATCATCATTTTCTTCCCTCTCCATCTGTTTTACGCTATTTCCCCAGCAAGTTCGGCAGGTCCTCTCACCCTCTTCCTCTCAGCTCACCCAAAAGAACGGAGGCTCCACAAGGATGGCAGGAATCTTTTTTTTTCTTTTTTTTAATCCACAGCTGTATTCCCAGCTCCACCCTCGCCTGGCACATGGCAGGCACCCAGCAAATATTTTTCCAGTGGATGAATGTTTTGTCAGTCTCTCCAGAGACTGGAGTCTTCTAGTACTCTTTTTGACACATTCTGTACCGTCACCCCACACTTGTGCAAGCCGGCTTCACTCCATTGATTGAGAATGGAGCAAGCCTCACCTGACCTGTAGCCCATAAGGCAGCGGAGTCCCAGCCCCTTGGACTCCCGTTTCATGTCCACTGGAAGTCAAAAGACCCCTCTAAGATTTGTGCCAGTTCAGGGATGCGGGTGAGGCCCAACATTCTCAACGCTCAGAACACCTTCTCAGGTAGGATAGCTTAGCCGTGTTGTTATAATTTGGGCTCCTGACTCCAAATCTCTAGGTTCTCACCTTATCTCCCTACCAGCTTATCCATTAGCCTTGTTTTTCTAAACTAATATAGAACTGCCCTCTCCAGTCGCTTGTGGCTACATTTGTGAACTTGATAGGAAAGCTAAGTATACCTCATAATCACAGGAGCACAAGCATATCGACTTAACTCAGCATTTCGTACAATTAACGAATATATGCTGGTTTATGAATAGATGATCTCTGGAAGGAAATGCAAGAAGCTGGTGACAGTGGAGACCTCCAGGGAGGGGGACTGAGTAAACTGGGACAGAGTTTGGATAAAGACCTCCTTCTCGCCGTACACCTTTCTGTATCGTGTATTTCCTGCATTTAAGACACACTGATATTGTATGTGTTTAATGTCAATAAATAAGGTACAATTCTCTTGACACGCTAGCTACACCAAAGTGGTTATAGCCAGTGACCTAAAGCCACATGCGTCATGGGGAGAGCTGATGTCTATGCTTGATGGATTAGGCTTCGAGCCCAGTTCTGGAGAATTTGCCGTTCCTTGTTCACGTCAGCTCTTTCCATTAGGATTTCCTGGTTGGAAAGAGCCAAGCTCTTCAACACACAGTCCTTACTGTCTACGTGTTTAGGTTACATCATTTGGATGAGGAGACCCAAACTCCTAGAGATACATCCCAGGAGCCACTTCGTACCTTGACAAATACTACAAAATATTTCCTCTTAAAGGGAAATAGATTTTCAACACACTTTAAAGTTTAAGAATACATCTGATGGAGAAAAAAATGTACATCTGTTGGAACAATCTGAGTAGTAATAAATAAGGATGTTTTAAGGATAATAATTGCAGTGTATTGAAGCACATTAACTCTGAGTTCACAATTAAACTATACAAACAAGCAAAAAAAAATCTCCTTGGTTACTTTTGGAGGAACCAACTATCGTTTTGAAAACTGATAAATAAAAGGAGAGAAGCAAGCATTTACCCTGCCTGTGCAAACTGTACTTGATAACCAAATAGTTGATAAAGGAAATTTTCTCTTTGTGGAAGTTTTCAGTAAATAAACCAAGGAGTGAGAGAATTTGAATATCCTCATTTCTCAAATCCTCTTGATCTAGGCAGTGATCACCAATAGCTGCTAATATCATAAAAAATAGAGATGTTCTTTGTATTTCCTGTACATTTATTTTGAGATGTGTATGAAGTTGAGTACCATCAGGTTTAATTTTTTTTCAGGACCAGTATTTATATGTGTGTCCTGTCATGTGTCTGCTGATGGAAGTACATAACATAATTTCTCCTGAAATAAAAAACAAATCTGAATTTAATCATATTTCTGTATCTCATAACAAATTTATAGAAAATATAAAGGAATGGCTTAAATAATACCATGGCCTTGGAGTCAGCAAAATTCAGACCTTGGACAACTGTACAGGACCTGGTTTCTTTAACAAAGGGAGGAAAAAGAAGAAAGAGAGATGGGAGGGAATGTATAGATTAAAACAGATTTAAGAGACAGTCAACAAATTGTCACGAACAGACCTTATTTAGATCCTGGTTCAAACAAACTGTTTTAAAAAAATGTATGGGGCAATTAGGAAATTTTGAATATTGAGTAGATGTCTGATAACATTAAATTATTGTTCATGTTTTTAGGTATTATATTAATACTATGGTTATATTCCCCAAAAGTCCTTATCTTTGAGATGCCTATATTGAAATATTATGGTTGAAATGAAAAATTTTAAAATCTGGCATCTGTGCTTATTTACACATAAAAATCTATGAAAGGATAAATAAGGGATTTGTGATGATGTGTTGAGACTGGAAGGGGAGCGAAGTCAAGGATGGGAGAGAAATGAACTTTTGGACAGAAAATTATGACTTTTGCAGGTAATACCTTTTCAAAGGACTAACCAAAAATATATTAAAAATAATGGGAAAAAGTTAATTTAACCCTGAAAGCCTTATTTGGGGGAATGAGAAGGCATAGACTCATTATAGAGCATGTGGATGGATTGACCCAGAACCACATTTCTCAAAGTGGGTCCTAGGACCCTCTGCATCAGCATTGGGCCCACCTCTCTCCCTCCCAGCCCAAATCTGGGAGCGTGAAGCACAGAGACATTTGAGAATTACAGGCCTTGATAACCTGAGTGCCACCTTTCAAATACTTATTATATTGTTTTGGAACTTCAAAAATTCATAGGGCAAAAATACTCCCAAATTGAAATTCAAAGCAGTGCAATTCTGAAAGTCTGAAAAGGCTTTTTTTTTTAGATTTGCTGACAATGATTTAATCAGCAGATGTCACTATGTAACACTGGGAGCATCCCTTCCATGTTGCCTCATTTTTGGAAAGGCAGAGTCTGCTGCTGGCAATGTAACATAGAAATATTTATGGTAATCTTGTATTTTGTTTAATGAAAATAATTTTTCTTTTACTTCCAGTGCTTATTAAAAGTTTATCTTTGATTAAGCATTCTTTGCTTTTGTTTTTGTTTTTTTCCCCCAGCATCATTGACAAAGAAGTTTCATTAATGGCAGAAATGGATAAAGTTAAAGAAGAAGCCAGTAAGTAGACACATGGTTGTTTGATTAGGAGCCTCCCAATCAGAAGTAATCCATAGGCCAGATTGACAATGATACAGATTCTGAGTGGGGTCCAAAAGGATGGAGTAGTAGCACCCACTGAGCGGAGGGCAGAATAGGCATGCAGCAAAGAATAGGTGCCAGTTGAGTTTATTTAAAGTCCAGGGAGACTTTTGTGCCTGTAGAGGGCTACTTATAGTTAATTGGGTTTAAAATGACATTGAATGTAGTATTAAATTTTAAAACATAATTTTTTATGCCTTTGCACCCTACAAATCTTGCTATACTACTTATACAGTCCTTTTCACTTGTTCTTTCAACTAACTCAAGTTTACCAAATTAAGTTCCCCTAAAAAAATGTGTTCTATTTGAAAGTTACTTCAATTCCCCTTAACAGGTTGAATTACATTTGTAAATTTAATATATCTTATTTTTTTCAAGCACTTCGGATACCTGACAAGGCAAACTCACAAACCTAACCAGCAAAGTATTCCAAGCTCTTAAGCAACTCTTATAAGATTAATAATTCAAACTTAGAGATGTACTAAATGAAGTTCTCTTAAAACACTCCAATTCTGTTTACAAACTCAGCCAAATTCGCTAACACCTGCCAACTTAACACCTCAGAAGAAAATCAGTTACGTGTTTGAAATCACAAGTGAGATTGCATAATATACAGAATACTCTATATTTAAATAATGAACACACACAGACAATCTTGATCATTGCAAAACCTTTTCTGAATTTAACACAAAATATTAGTACTCTGGGTTTGATTTATTTTACTATTTTTATACCTATTTCTAAACCTTTCCACTGCTCTAAAGTTAACCCAACAGCCATTAGGGTGGATTTGCCATCTCAAATAGGCTGAGGTTCATGGGTTAGAAATTTCAGCTGAGACAAGATGGCTCAGTCAGATTCAACGCGAGTGTACATGCTGATCTCTCTTTTATTTTTAAATTCATTTGCTATGTTAATGGGAGCCCTAAGACCTTTTTTTTTTCCTTTTTTTCCCCTAAGACCGTATTTTTCAGCTGGGATTTAGTTTTACAATCCGTATCTCCTAGGCATTTTAAATTCTTCATCCTTACCCAAATATTATCTCATAAGTTGGATAAATGGCAGTCTGCACCCCCAGCCAGGTTTCAGCTAAATTCCTTTACTTTTGACTTCAGTGCTTTCCTTTTTATCAGTGAAGGATCAGACCAGATTCTTCACTCTTTTAATATTTTTCTTGCCTGGCCCTTGGCCATAAATTCAGTAGTTGTTTTATGGAAAATAGCTATCATTATTTTTGTTAGACAATTTTTCCAAATAATTCTAAACATTTTAGAATCTCAAATACAGCAGGTTTTATTAAATAAAACTAAATGTGATCCAGGGTTAAGCTGTGGAATATTTAGATAGTTACACCATTCCTTTGACTGTGCAATTATTTTATTTTATTGAAATTTGTTGATTTCTTCAGTAGCAGTAGATTATCCCATGACTTGGGATCTTCCCTGTTTCTCAGGTACAGCTTACTTTCCCTTTTCAGTTTCATATCCTAATGATAAAAATGTAACAGCCAACACAAACACAAATGTTTCTCTAGCACCAAATAGAAAGTTACTAGCACGTCACTTTCTCAGAGTTTAACAGAGGGCCTCAGATTTCAAGTGCTCATTCTTCCTTCTGGGGACAGTAGTATTCAGTCCCAAGACCTGTGGAATTTGGGCATCTCTGGAGAGCATCTCCATTTTTAAAACTCATTCAATCAGTAAACATTGTGTGCTTCCTTATGTGCTAAGGACTGGCAGAGAGAGGGACAAACGAGCAAACAGATAAATCTGGGACCTGCACTCATGGAGCTTTCAGGCTAGCTGAAACGGCTAGCTTGATTGACAGGGTTCCCCTAACTTCAGGAATCGGTCCTGGTTTAGAGCTGCCCAGTGCCCTGGGGAAACCAATTTGCTTACATTGGAGGTGAACAGAAATGAAATCAAATCCAGGTTCCACCCATTTACTGGCTGTGTGACACTGAACTATTTTGTGAATTTCTAAAGTCAGGTTCCTAATCAGAAAAGAGGGCATAAGAAGAGTGTCTATATCAAATAGTTATTAGCACAGTGCCTGACACGGTGTGTATAAAAAGAGAAAAGCTCATCTTAGTAGAGAGGTTAGTCCAACCCCTCAGAAAACAGAGGTCAGGGGGGTTATGCAGCCTCTGCCAGGTGACACACCTATGTCAACCATAAGTCTTCTCCATCGATAGAAAGAACCATTGAATTTCTCCCCACAAAGTGCTGAACTGTCTTTCCAGCCACCATTTTGAGCTTCCTTATCTAGGGTCTCAAGAGTATTTTCCACGTTTTCCATTTCCTGCACATGATATAAACCATATCTCCCCAATTATAACATAAGCTCCTATATCCCTCATGGCACCTAACACAAAGCTGAGAAGACTGTGGGTACTTCACTGTATTTCTTAAAAGAATTATTGTAATTAATTCAGTATCTACAGGCTGTGGGATCCAATATTAGTGAACGTGAACGTAATTGCAACAAGAGGGAGGTGTATTCTAGATAAATATATCTCACTTTAATAATAGTATTTGTGGGCTGCCCTGGTGGTGCAGTGGTTAAGAATCCACCTGCCAATGCAGGGGGACATGGGTTCGAGCCCTGGTCTGGGAAGATCCCACATGCCGCGGAGCAACTAAGTCTGTTCGCCTTAACTACTGAGCCTGTGCTCTAGAGCCCGGGAGCCACAACTACTGAGCCTGTGCACCACAACTACTGAGCCAGCACTCTAGAGCCCATGCACCACAACTACTGAGCCCACGTGCCACAACTACTGAAGCCCACACACCTAGAGCCTGTGCTCCACAACGATAGAAGCCACCACGATGAGAAGCCCACGCACTGCAAGGAAGAGTAGCCCCCGCTCGTCACAACTAGAGAAGGCCCATGTGCAGCAACGAAGACCCAGTGCGGCCAAAAATAAAATAAATAAAATATATAAATTTATTTTTTTTTATTAAAAAGAATAATAGTATTTGTAGTTAGGGTTTTTTAGGGTACTATTCTAAACAATTCACATAGGTTATTTCATTCAGTTCCACAATAACCCTGTGAGGGGTATATGATTATTACATTTTACAGATGAAGAAAGTAAGGATGCTGTCGTGCTATGATCTCAAACTTTGCCTGCCCAGGGAATTGGAGGCCTAGACAGGTGTGTTCTCAGAGTGTCAAATTTACTGGAGATGGGAAGAAAACATTACTTTATATTAACAGGAACATAGATCTATTATGAAGTAAAATGCAAAATTCACAAGAATTTTTAAGGAATTAAAAGGATTTCAAAGAACCTTTGTGCTTGAAGAGCTACTTGGGCCCCAGCTTCTGGGCCCCCACCCCCCAGGATTTCAAGTATACCCTCTGCTAAGACATATTATTCGAGAAGCCCTAAAATTTTCCATGGTTCAAGTAATAAGAGCAAGCTTCTAACGTGTTCCAGAAACTTGAAGGAAATTATAAATCCTACTGAGTGAATGGATTTCAGCATACCAGATACTACATAAATACTACTAATCGAGTGTTGAATGCAGTGAAAATCCAAAGCCATATGGGACTGTCTCCCTCTACAAATTTCCAAAAGGATGGTGCTTTCAAAACATACTTACTATTCTATTTGAAATTATAGGATCAATGAATTTTAGGAACTGATCTGTTTCGGTTTTGCTTTCTGTTTCTGTGATTGATGTTTTTGAGGTGAAAATGTTGGCTTACCCCCAGAGAATATTGGCTTTTGATCTCAAGTTTTAGGACTTTTTCATAATGAAAGTCTTTGAAATGTTAATGAGACTATATGTAAAACTCATCCCAACACTTGCTGATGCAAAGTATTTATTCCCATGCACATTTGCATGAGTGTAAACTCAGAATTTATTGGTGATCTTGCACCTGCATTTCTGTTTTAGGGCCCATTTATATCTGTTTCTACAAAATCTTTTGTTTGGTATGAATGCTCAAGTTCTATTTAATCAAAAAGAACAATTACCCCTAATTGTCACCAGTCCCACAAATGATTTGTTAAGAAAAGTCAGATCTGTTTATCCATGTAGTCACTCAGGGTCTGTTGACCCCTTTACTAGCTGCTCATCAAAGCTGGGCCCTCAGCATTCTTATTTATCTTACTTTGCAAGAGGAAAGTACCTCATTTCATCTTCCTACTCAAGAATCATTTTCTCATTCTCCAGGCTTTAGTCCCATCCATATGTTGAATTATAATGGGAAATAAATAATCAGTCAAAGGTATGAGTCCTAGATATTCTCAAGTGGCCCCTGTAGAAAAGGAACTTCTGCCTTTCTTTGCATATTCCTTTTAAGTAATGCATTGATTCATTCTTTGCATATTCCTTTTAAGTAATGCATTGATCCATTCGTTGGAATCCTTCATTCAGCAAACATATTGGGCACCCACTGTGTACCAGGCCCTAGGTATCCTGGACACAAAGAACTAAATGTGCAGTTTTTGCCAGAACTAGAGATGCCTGCTGTAGCCAGACGTAACAATATTTTAAGAGCAACCAGAAATCCAGCTTTTGAATGGAATCACTTAACTTTCAAGTGTGGGTGATTTATTTGTAAAAGTAATGTGTGGACCAAACAAAATATATGTACCCTGTCACTGAAAGTGATAGCTGGCTACCTTTTTGTGACCTCTGGTCTGACTGGGTAACCTGGGACATCACTCAGTAATACATTTTCTACGTTCACATGAAAATTCCTTTCACTCCCATCATCAGGACAAGTTTTTCACTAGCTTCTCTGTACTCTGAAATGCTACCAGGCACAATTCAGTCTCTGCCCAGCTACCTGGAATTGTAAATGGGAGGCAGGGGGAGTCCTGGTAAATAATCAAAGCATGATTAGAGTAGTTTGGCAGATGGTTAGGCTTTATGAGTTATAGATTAGTTATTTTATTGACATCTCAACGTTGGTATCAGCATAAAAAGATATTTCTCATCCTGAGGAATGGCTTATGGTTTGCAGGAAATCTTAACTCTTGATTGACTCTGAACTTCTTTTGGGGCTTCTGAAGCGACTATTTTTGACATTTTTAAATTAAGAACTCTTAAAATCAGAAAGCACCTTGTTTGGGCATTGTGCTGTGAATCTGGGCATTGTGCTGTGAATCTGGTCTAATAAAGCAGTTGACCCTTGTTCAGCCAAGAATGGGATGTGAATTCCGTGTGCATATTGTATAAGTTAGGTGGACTTGTCTTTTGTTATAACTCAAAATCTTTGTCCAAAAGAAATGAAGGCAATTCATATGTGACTGGAATGAGAGAACTACAAATCTTATCTATTATAAAATCAAACTTCTTGTTTAAATCTCACCCAATGTATTTGTATTCATTGCCTTTGAGCTCCATGATCTTTGGGGAAACACACACACACACACAGACAATTAACCTGTGGGCTCCTACATCTACTTGAACCTTTAGTAGTTCATCTGACAGGTGTGTGAAATGTGATGCCGAGAATTCCCTTGTGACTTCGCTGCATGTGCAGATGCTAGAGTGCACATGAATTCAGCTTAAGCAAGCTTTGACTCACCCTTGAAATTTTTCCATTGTGGACACTTACAACAAAAACTCTGGTCTGCAACTTCTGTCTGGTTGCAAAATGGAAACATATCTGCAGAGTAGCAAAAGCAGAGGCATTTTTTAGCTCACAAAAAGCTAATAAAGGAAACCTTTTATGTCATCTTTCAATAACACAGCTAGTTGCCCTAAATGAATATGTGTTAAAGTTCGGAGGGTCTGATGTTGTTAGAATTTAATAGTACAGCACATACAGAATAATGGTTTTTGCTTAGTGGACTCACTGTCTTTGCATTAGCATTCAGATAGGATTTTAATGGTTTTTTTTTTTTCCTTCTTGGAGATAGTTGTTCTGAGTAATGCACAAATCTAAAAGTCCAAACTAAGTAAGTGAGATCAGATGCCAGTGGGGAAAATGAAGAAGACTGTGGATGTACAGTGAATCAGAAAGGACCGTGTTTGGTTTGGGGCTTGGTGGATAAAGACATAAGGAAATGAGTGGTTGGTGATGAGCACCAAGGGCCAACCCAGCTTAGTGACCAACTCAGAAAACAGCCATGGCCCAACAAAGCGATCAGTCTGCGGAGACAGAACTGATCCAAGAAATTAGGTCGTTTAATATGTTTACATCTTTGGCCTTAATGTATTATTCTTTCTTATCTGGCAGTGGAAATCCTGACTGCTCGTCAAAAGAAAGCAGAAGAACTAAAGAGACTTACTGATCTAGCCAGTCAGATGGCAGAGATGCAGCTGGCCGAACTCAGGGCAGAAATTAAGGTCAGTTCTAAAATATCACAGCCTGAACCCTGAGCCAGAGTTCTGATCCCCATTATGTCTGTTCTGCATCCATAGAGTGCTGTTCTCTGAGGAGCTAACATCAGGCACCCAGCTGTCTTTCACAGGGTTGAAATCGAGAATACAGAAGGGTTAAAGAAACACCTAGTCACTATATTTAAGTATACTATGTGTTGAAGGGCTATATCATTACAGAGGAGAGGTACAAGCTAATTTTTTAGCCAGTGGAACTGACCCAAATAAAATGTATTCAACCATAAATTACAGCTGGGAAGGGGAACATTATTTTCACCATATGTCATTTATGCATATGTATATAAACACACACACATGTGAACACACACTAAGTATGAACTTAGTATAACAGTGAGGATTCTAAAGAATGTACAATATGTAGAGACTTCTTTCCTATATCCTTTTCTAGCTTACTTGACCTTTTATTAAGAATACCACCCACAAATATGTATTTAGTGGATTTCTTGAGTTGCACGCAACAGAAGCTGACCCTGGCTAGCCTCAAGGACAAGTAGAATTGGAAGGGATTTGAGGGTAGCTCACCAAAGCAGAGTGTGCTCTGAAGACTCCAGGTTATAACTGGGCAGAAATGTTGGCAGCAGTAATTACCAGACACTCTTTAGGGCACCATCAGAGTGAGTGACCTCCAGATGTCATCACCCCTTGGGCCACCCCACTGGATTCAAATCCCAAACAGAGAGATTCTGATTGGCCTCCACTTGGGTCACATCCACCATTTGGCCAAGAAAGGTCTTGATTGAAAGACCCACCAACGCTGTGAATCTTGGAAACTGCATTGGGGTACAGTTACCAGAAGGAGAAATTGTTAGCAGAAAGGCAAAAACAAGTATCTACAACAAAATAGGAAGTTACAGTTTATAAATTTTCCCTTATCCTCATTTTCCCCAATACAGTGAACATACACACATGCACACGCACTCCAGCTTCCGACCGACTTCTAGGGAACTAGCGTACTTTGAAGTCATATTTGTTGCTAGCTTTATGAGTAGGATTGTCTGCTCATCCCAGCATAACCACTGGTTGGGTATGGTAGAAAGTGGCAATTGACTTTGGTCCCCTCCATCCTGGTTAGGCATAAAAGAGAGCCCTGCGGGGATGACGATTTCCCCTGAAGGTTCTGAGAAGTTCTGTAGGTCTTTCCCTCCTCACCTGCTCTCCTGGTCTTTGTTTCCTCCAACCAGTCAATTGCAGTGGCCTCCTGACTATTCTTTCTGCATCCACTGTCTCCCTCCAGCCTGGTCATTCACCCTGAGACCAGAGTTATTAGAGCAGGTCTGGTCTCCCCCACTATGGTCTCCTCTTCCCTTCAAAATAAAATCCACCACTGGACTCCAGTATATATTTATTATGGCCAGTGCTAATTAGTTTCAGTAGAACAAAACCCTTCGTCTTGTGGACACAGATGCACTTCTAATGTCACAGATGTTCCCTAGTCCCAAAGGAGATTAGAATGGGGAATGGGGCTGGTTGGCAGAACCCATCTTGATACCCAGAAAAACATCCTGAAAAGCAAAACAAACAAACACACACTTGTTTTGATAAATAAGAAGTTGCCAGCTTCCTGGTCAACTGAAATCCACTCATCTTCCAAGTTTCACTTCTACCTATCAAAATCCCACTCATCGTAAAATGGTTGATAGCACAGGCTTTGGAGTGCAACAGTCCTGCTCTTGCAACCTTGGATAAATTACATATTCTCTTAGATTCTTAGAACCTCGGTTCCCCCTTTGTAAATTACAGTTAATGTTAGTACTCATTTCATAATAATGTGATCAGCTGAAAATGAGATTATCTGTTAAGAATTTGGCCCATGTCTGGTAAGTGTTCAGTATTTTTTTAATGTTCCAGCTCAAATGCTTCCTCTTACATAACCCTTTACCCATTCCCCTCAGTAGGAAATAATTTCTTCCTCTTTCATATTCCTAAAGCACCTACTACATTCTACGTTATATTGTATCTTGTGGTATCTGTCTCTCTTACCATGTGGTAAACTCCCTGGTAGATGACAGAGGGACTGACTCATGGTTATTTCTGTATTGCTCACTCTGTCATCTACACATAGATCTTAATTTTAAATGAACTGAAAAGTAATCTCTTTCCCACTTCCTTTAACAGCACTTGAAATTCTACCATTCAAGATAATGGTTTCTAGTTATCGATACTGAAGGCTTTTTGGACTTCCTGGTACCCTATTAAAATGGAGACGGACGTCTAGGAAGGATGACATGCTTTCTCATGAGGAGTGATACCTTAGGAGGCCATTGGCCAGATTAGGAAGACTGCCAGAAGGCAATCCCATAACTTACAATAGGGCAGGAAGTGCTAGAAGGAGGGCGTGGGGTGCTAAAAGGCTTTAGACGAGTCCAGACACACATTTTGCCTGTACAGACAAGACCCACACGTGTTTCCCAGAAGAAGGAGGTGACCGTGCTCCAGGCAGGCCAAAACCAAGCCTGCTTTAACAGAGCCTCCCAGTGACAGAGCTGGCATGCTTCCCCACCTGGGGATGCTTTCACATCATCAGTGGTGGCGGGAGAACAGAGAATGGATCAGCAGCATGCCTCAGTCATTTCTGCAATCATGGGGCTCCTGTCTCTTCCCTACAGCACTTTGTCAGCGAGCGTAAGTATGATGAAGAGCTTGGGAAAGCTGCCCGGTTCTCCTGTGACATTGAACAGCTAAAGGCCCAAATCATGCTCTGTGGAGAAAGTGAGTTTTGCATACTTGCTAAATAATTCTGTGTGCATAAGCCTGGTGCTATTTGGAGTTGATATCAGAAATGTCAGGTGTGCGGTCCCCCAGGGGGCTAAAGTGAGGTCTAAAGAGATTTAATGATCTAAGGTCATGACACAAGTCGCTAAAAATGTCAAGATCCGAACTTCGAGTCTTCAAATGCCACTGCCCATCAGTAAATCCCCAGGATTTATTAAGCGGAACAGAACAGGTCAACTAGTTTATACCTTTTGCAAACTTTTCTTAAGCACTGCCAGATCAACTGCCTGTCTGATTTCAAACAGCCTGGTTCTATAGAGACCTGTTAACAGGGAGAGGGAGTCTCCGAGTCTGAGAACAATGGGCTACTGTCGTGAAGGGCCCAGCTGTCGTGTGTGTGTGTGTGTGTGTGTGTGTGTGTGTGTGTGTGTGTGTGTGTGTGTGTGTGTGTGTGTGTGCGTGTGTGTGTGTGTGAGAGACACGCTGCTCAGCAGTGCCTGACTGAGCCTCTCCCTTAATTAGAGCAGTTAACATGCAACAAAATTGCCTGATCCTTTTTCCCCTGCTCCAGCCCACCCACCAGGGGAGGTGGGAATGAGCACTAAAGTGGCTTCAAGGACGCCACAAGGAGGAAGGAACAACTGGTGAAGGACATGGAATATCTACAGCCTCGTAGTGAGCTGAAAAATTGAGATTCGGCTTCACTTTTTTTTTTGCAAAGTGGAAATTGCATTTTTTCTGGGTATAAAAAATATAAGCTTGATCTAAAAATTACAAACGATATAAAATAGAACATGACGTTACTTTTGTGGCTCCATCACACTTTTTATGCACATATATCTACTGTGTAAATTATACAGTATACTTAATTATACTACATCATTTACTATACTATACAATATACATATATAGTAAGAGAATTTGCTTTTATCATTTCACAATATATGGCTGACATTTTTCCATGTCAATATATTTAACCTGTAATTTATTTAAATATAATTGGCACAATCAGTCCCTTCATTGTGGACATTTAGGTTACTTCCAGTTTTTCACCATTAAAATAACACTGCTGTGAGCATCCTTGCTCACATATCTTTGGCAGTTATCTGAATTTTGGACTGCATTTCTTTTAAATTATTTTTTTTCTAGACACTCCCTCCCTTATGAATCTACCCCACTTGCCATTCTCCATCCCCAGATTTTGCCTCACCTCTAAAAAAACCAGACTATCTGATTCGCAGTTGGAAATTTAACTGCCTATCCTAGTTTCCACTCCAGGCTGATAATGGGCAAGACCCTGATGCCAAGTGACTCTGCCACCATCTGAGGGGGGGAGGGCGGCGTAGCGTCACCTGCTCTCTTCCAGAGCACTCCAGTGCCATCTAGTGGGAGGAACCATCCCTTACCAACTCCCAGGTGTCCACATTGGAGGCCAGCCTCCCTTGTTGGAGACGAGAGTCCCCGAAAGGCCCTTTTCTTCTCAGCTTTGTTGAGAGCACATAGAAAGCCCACAGCTACTGAACCGGAAGTAGTAATGACCCCTGTGAAAGTGAATCTAGTTAGCAAAGAGCCACTAAAATCCCCTCGTCATGTTTGGACAGTACCCGACGTGCCATCACACCTTACCTGTAAAATGAAGGGACTAGAGATACATCCCTGTCCTTTCCATTTCTAATGTCCCGTGATCCCTATTCACACTCCAAATCCCCAGGAAGAATGCTAGGATGAAGTCTGATCCAACACAGGTAGCAGAGAAAATTGCTTTTAAAAACTGGTGACAATTTTTTAAGATTCAGAGGTCTTGCTGTCCAGACTGGCAGTCAAATTCTGGTGAACTATGAGAGGAAAGTCATGATTATATCCTTAAGTTGATTCCCTCCGGCCCTGATTCAGCATAATCACACAGAAACATCTCATCAAAAACCACCCCTTTCAAAACCAGTGGGAAGGGTGATAATAAAAATTGAACAGACCTGTCCGAGCCCTGCCAGGGATCTGTCTGATTAGCCTGTGTGGACTTTAGCATTGGAATTGTTGTTAGCATTGGAATTTAGGATTGGAATTGTTGCAGATTTGCAGTGGGGCTGTAGAAAATGGAGTTGATAAAAGGCCAGATAATGTAACTCTAATGGAATATAAAAGATGCTTTGGGGCATCTTTTGGGCCGGCAGGCATGGCTGTAAGGTCAGGGAATATATACCACCCCGGGGGTGACAAAATTCCTGACACCTGGCATCACCCCATTCTGAAGCTCTCAAAATATTGTGGCTCTGACCAGCCAAGTGTCCGTGTACTGCTAGGTTTTTCTGCATCTCTGCAACACCAACTGGTCTAGGGGTATGACAAGAATGGCAAGAACAGGTTTGGTAATGGGGAACCCAAGAGGCAGAGTACCTTTTTGGACAGGGCTGAGAGGGCACTTCGGGGTTTCATTATCACTCTTCCCTTGGTGGTTCTTGACCTAAGGCATAATATTAAAGGTGCTCAGATCTGTCTCATTTCCTACAAATGTCTCCCAACCTGAATGATTATGCTATTCAGTGATTCTCACTGAAGACATTTGGTGGTCTCCAAGCACCTAGGTACTTTTTCAAATGATATCTTACCAAAAAAACCCAAAAAACAAAAACTTAATGTTTTTATGAAGCTCCTGCCAATTTCTCCATCTCCTAATGGGTTACCGCGGCACAGCCCCTAACACAAAGTGCTTTCTTGTTGCAGTTACACATCCAAAGAACAACTATTCCTCAAGAACTCCCTGCAGCTCCCTGCTGCCACTGCTCAACGCTCACGCGACCACCTCTGGGAAACAGAGTAACTTTACCAGAAAATCATCCAATCACAACAAGCCCTCCGAGGGTAAAGCAGCAAACCCCAAAATGGCGAGCAACCTTCCCAGCACCGCTGACAGCTCTCACCAGGCTGTGCCGGCTAATAAGCAGGTAAACCGCTCCAGGGAGGCCACCTTGCCCTGCTTCCAGGAGTCCCGCAGACCCTAGTGCATTACCTGGGCAAGAAACCACTCGTTTTCAAAGAAAACAGCCACCACTGGTCACACCCAGGCTCCGCCCACCCCCAGCAGCAGCCCGACCTCCAGAGCCTCCGTCTGCCTGTCCGGCCTCCCAGAGCTCCCCCGGTCCATCCGGTCCCCATTTCATAGGCACTGTCCCCTGTGGAGGAAGTGGTCTTCACACACTTGACAGCATCAGCAAAGAGTCCACCTAAATGAGACGGTGCTTCTCGTGCCTTGAGTGCCACCCAGGTCCTCGTAACTGGCCCACACGTGGAAGAGACACACAGACGTGGGAACAAGATTCAGAACCTGGCCACTGTCACCATTAGTGAGAAGAAATCTGGCATGCTTTTTTTATGATCCTTTAACTCCCATTTATGTCTAGTTTTTCTGTAAGAGGCCAAAGTTAGTTCAAACTGCTCGCTCTTCTCTTGGGCTTTCAGTAAAGAGAATACATTTCAAAATGACATTATTAAGTCTTATCTACTATGACCCTTAAAAATAGAAGTATCCAAAGGACAGTCTTCTCTCCTCTGCTTCTCCACTATATCCTTGAGAAGTGATTTCCTCCTTATCATTAGAGAATGACCAAGAAATGGGATTTGATGATTCAGAAGCTGGGAATGGTATAAAGACATTTTTCGTGAGCTCTCAGAAAGAAAGCTTGAATAAAGAGACTTTTTTTTTTGAGCATTCCAAAATGCTGGTTTTCTAACAAGTGCCCTGTTGGATTTTGTGGTCTTGGTCTTTTAGAATTCTCATTAGTGACTCTGACAGGCATTTCTCTGGCCCCAGATGTCTTCATGAACTTTAAAATAGCATTTGGACAAGGAGTATTTCATACAGTCATAGATTCAAGATCATAATCAAATCTGTTTCACTTGTCTAAATACAGCTTCATAGCTTTTTTTCTTTGCATATTATTAAACCCCCTGATAAAATTAAGTCCAAAATTTAGTCTGAATTTCTCTGTCACAATTTTTTCTCTTTTTTTTGCGGCACACGGGGCTCTCACTGCTGTGGCCTCTCCCGTTGCGGAGCACAGGCTCCAGATGCGCAGGCTTAGCGGCCGTGGCTCACGGGCCCAGCCGCTCCACGGCATGTGGTATCCTCCCGGACCAGGGCACGAACCCGTGTCCCCTGTATCGGCAGGCAGACTCTCAACCACTGCGCCACCAGGGAAGCCCTCTGTCACAATTTTTTTAAAAGCAAAGGGGGCCAGATTAAATGCTGTCCACATAGATACTTTTTCAGTTCACTGTTTCATCATTTTCAGCAAAGCATTTCAGGCGATGGCCTGTTTAACCTTAAACATATATCTGAGCCTCAGAAGGGCCCTTGTGCTGGGTCCTGTGCTTTAGCGTAAACCCTCGTGGCTCTCTGCCAGCCATGGCCCATGGCCCTCCCTACGGAGCGAGACCAAGATGTGACTACCCAGAATCTACACTCTCCCTTCTGGAAAGTGGTCCAAATACTCGAGATCCTGGAATTCTATTCCGAGATAGCCCCAAGCCTACTCTCAAGGTCTGTTTGGACTACTTTCCTGGATGCATCACCTTGAGGGCCGAGCTGACCACACTACCAGTTTGCACACCCCTAGGTCCAAAGGGCGATTATTTGTGGAGGTGGAGACCATGCTTAGGTGAACAGGCTGGAGTGTCCACATTCCTGTGGGCATGGCCCCTCACAATGTGAGATGGAGCCAGAGGTAGGAAGAGAAAATCTTCAGACACATGGTACGTGGGCCTCTGCCTTTGTACTCTTGCCCTGGGCCCTGAGTTACTAGGGGCACGTCTGCCCTAAACCAATACCGTCCAGTCACAATGCACAAATTAAGAACTTGATATATTTGTAACTCAAAAAATTACACATTTTAGTAATAGACGTTTGATTTTCAAAAAAAGGTCTGTGTTCATGTAACAACCTGCTTATGAATCTTGTCTGGAGGGAATATGTGAAGTGAGAATGGCTCCACCACTTTCTAACTGTGGACCTTGGGCAAGTCCCTTAAACTTCTTATCTTCATCGATAAAATGAAGTGCATCATAGAAGCTCTCTTAAAAGGTGATGGCAATGACAAATGAGGTGGCACAAGGTCAAGTGCCTCGCTTGGTGCCTGGCACACTTAAGCACTACATACCTGTTGGCTGTTTTGACCTCAAGGAGTTCAGAAATCTTTCCCTTGTATGAAGACACACAGGCTAACCCACTGCTTCCTTTTTACTTGTCCATTTATGTTCTTGGTTGCTGATTTGTTGAGCGTTGCCAGTTTTTCAGTCTGATGCTTCAAAATTCATTAGCTGAGAACTGCAAAAAGTTTAGAAAAAGAACTAAGTATCTCTTTGAAAATACACATCACCTCTACATCTCACCAAGATCTACCAGAGACACCTCATCCCTGTATTTACCCAAGATAAGATTTCTGAACTATGGTATTTGTTTTGAAATAAAATAGAAAAGCTGCTTCAGAGACGAAAAATGACAAACAGAATTTTATGTTTTTCTTCATATATGTCATGAGAATTCGTATACATAGTCTATAGAGAATGTCCTAGAAATGTTTACGGTAGAGAATCGTCGTTTCCGTGCCTCTATGTTACATTTCATTGTGTTTTATTTCAGGCATTCTTTATGGGGTTTATTTGGCCTGGTTCTGGAATTGTCTCTCTTATACTTCTGTAACCTCTCTTTCAACATCAGTAATTTTATTTTCTTGGAGTTCCATTTACAAGACAGTCCGCTGTTTTGTTTTGTTTTTTTCTTTTGCGGTACGCGGGCCTCTCACTGTTATGGCCTCTCCCGTTGCGGAGCAACAGGCTCCGGACGCGCAGGCTCAGCGGCCATGGCTCACGGGCCCAGCTGCTCCGCGGCATGTGGTATCTTCCCGGACCGGGGCACGAACCCGTGTCCCCTGCATCGGCAGGCGGACTCTCAACCACTGCGCCACCAGGGAAGCCCTGCTGCTCTTTTAAGCTCAAGGATTCTATCAGCTTGACCTCATTTGCATGTTGTCACATTCTTCTGGGGTGTAAAAAAGCTTACCTGTGACTTAGAGATTTGGTTTCCCTGATGTCTACTGATGTCATCTGAGGTTTGTTGGCATCTAATACTTACCTCCTTTTTTTTTTTTTTTTTTTTTTGGTAGAATGGGTCTTCTAGCCAAAGACGAAGATTTAATCCGCAGTATCACAACAACAGGCTAAATGGGTCTGCGAAGCCCCAGGGCAGTGGTAACGAAGCTGATCCGATGGGGAAGGGCAACAACCGCCATGAACACAGAAGACAGCCACACAACGGCTTCCGTCCCAAAAACAAAGGCGGCACCAAAAACCAAGAGGCCTCTTCGGGAACCAAGACCCCCGAGGCCGCAGCCCATCCGGAAAAGCCCCGACGAAGGCAGCACGCTGCAGACAACTCAGAGGCCAGGCCTTTCCGGGGAAACGTCTCCAGGGTTTCACAGTGCAATCTCTGCCCCACGAGAATAGAAGTTTCCACAGAGGCCGCGGTTCTCTCCGTCCCAGCTGTGACGTTGGTGGCCTGAGCTAGGAGAGAAGAAAAAAAAAAGCCGTTTTCATTCAGTTTCTGTTCCCTGCCCGAGGTGCTGACCCAATTCGCTGCCAAAAGAGAGTCAATCCGAATATACAAACCCTGTACGGCTGTGTCATCCTCTCTTAATCATTTTTTTCTAATTCTAATAATCGGCTCTAGCTTGCTTCATAACTTTCATGGCTTTGCTTGATATGTTGGCGCTTTTTCTCATCAAGACTTTGCAGCATTTTAGCCAGGCAGTATTTACTCATTTGTTAGGAAAATCAGGATGTGGCTAAAGATCAGAGGCTCAGTAGCAACCTATGTTGTAGCAGTGATGTCAGTCCATTGATCGTCTTTAGAGAGTTAATGTTGAAAACAAAATTCTTATTGATCAGACAAACCTGATCTGCTGAAGACACGTGCGCTTTTCTAGAGTTTAACATCTGGTGTTTTTCTGAAAAAAATATATACATATATTGCTTTATTTGAAACAAATTAAAATATGCTGCATTTGACACCTGGCTTGTTTTTTTTTTCTTTTTAATTCATGCCCACTTTATCATCCAGTGTACCAGGTATTACTTTCAAGAAAACTTTAGAGACTAGAAGTTGTGGCACAGAGCTCTGAACAATACTGTTTCTCTCGGGACAGGTAACCTTTTGGAAAAAATGCCTGACAATGGCCCCGCCAGTACGTTACACGCATATAGATGGATGTGCACCCCGATCATCTTAGACACAACACGGTAGTTTGGAAACCTTGGTTGCAAGTAATATAAACCTTAGCCTCATTGAAACAATAAAGAAAAGGTATTGGTTTAGTGGCTGCAAAGCCCAGTATCAAAGTATGCCTTGGGTCCAAATGGATCAGGACTCTAGCCCCTTTCTCCTGGTTATCTCAGCTCTCCCTTCCTCCTTAGGCTGACATTGTATTCAGAATGGTGGCAAATAGCTGCCTCACTCCTAAGAGTCATGTCCACCCCTACATTGTCCAGAAGAAAAGAGAAGCTCTCCAGGTAGCGTCCACGTGGAGCAAGTGTCTTTCTCAAAAGTCCCAGCGAGGGTCTTGCATATCATTGGCCCAGACTGCTGGTAGGCTTGTCCCTCAACCAATCATCAAATGACATGTGCTAATTAGCATAGACTAATCAGAGCCCACCCCCAAGCTGGGCTCCTGTTACCTGAGGAAGGGAGAGGGGATACCGGGGGCCCACATCCCAAGGAGCCCCAAGTCCCCTGTCTTGGAGGGCAAGGCAGCTCAGTTTGGCCACTGGTTCCATTGAAATTCCATGTGTCCTACAGATGTGTTGGCCTCTTTCAATTTCAAATGCTTATTTGCTTATTTTCAACTCAAAGTTAACATTTTTTCTGGCAGCCCAGGTTCAGTGGTTCTCTTCCGCAGAGCAGCCCCGAGCACCTGAGCCTGCACACCACGCAAGCATCCGTTTCTTCTTCTGCAAGTGCAGGGAGGATGTTTGCTCTCTCTGGAGAGAACCTTCTGAGGTCTCTGGGTATACCCAGAGATTTAATAGGAATTTTATTTTATTTTATTTTTGAATGTATTTTAATTATTTTATACAGCAGGTTCTTATTAGTTATCTATTTTATACACATCAGTGTATATCTGTCAATCCCAATCTCCCAATTCATCACACCACCACCCCCCGCCGCCTTCCCCCCTTGTTGTCCATACATTTGTTCTCTACTTCTGTGTCTCTATTTCTGCCCTGCAAACCAGTTCATCTGTACCATTTTTCTAGGTTAAATAGGAATTTTAAATGTTAAGTCACATTCCAGGAAGGAAGGAAGGTTTGTTCGTTCAAATAAGAAAGATAAATGTTCAGGACTGCAATCTCCATTTATTCCATCTGAGGCCCTGGATTTATATTTTATAAGACAGGAGGACTTTGCACAAATTTTGTGTACCAAGATTTGGCTCACCACAGAAAAATGTCAGTTCAAATGTAACAGCTTTAAAGATGAGGCAAATGATTATTGCAACAGGAAAATGACGGGTTTGCCAGGTCAGGAGCACACCTGCCTTTGTCAGGGTGGACCCTTCACCCTCAACCTTGACGCACCCATCATGCTGTTCTTGGGGTTAAGAAAGCTCAGCCACGTTCCTAAGCACGTAGCAAATGCTCCGGGTCACTGAAAAGAAACAAAAAAGAACGCCAAGAAATATTCAGACCTGTTTACGTTTTTTTCCCTAGATTTTTGCCTTTCTTGTAGACCCTGGGCATGCAAGCATTCACCAGTGTGCATCTTTGAAATGGTAATTTCAATATTTTAGTCTCAGTGTCAGTCCACTGAAATACTATATTACATATCTTCATCTGTTCCGGTGGAATCATTGGTGTGATCCTAGAAATCTGGGTTGAATTCTGCCATTCTTTTAAGGTATTTTAAATTTCTTCAAAAAAAAATCCACGGGCTATGGGCACTCTAATCTCTCTACTTAATGCACAGTAGCCAGAAGAATAGATTCTTTTCTCTTAAACACTTCTCTAGTAGAGATTAAACCATTTTGATACCTGTGAAGATTGAATAACTTCAAAACTCACCTACATTGTACCACCAAGACTCCATCTGTTAAAGGCAAAACCTCCCTGTTGGGTTCCCAATTACATTCCAAATTTACATTTCATTTGAGAATCTCTACATACTCCAGCTCTGTGCCGTTGACCCTATTCTAGGGGTTCTGAGTACAGCAAGGCTCAGAAGGTTAAACACAAGTTGGTGCAAAATTCACCCTCAATAAAGGTCATACAAGAGTTTGTGGGGAAGAAATAAACCCATACTATATCCAATTTAGAGCTCAGTTCAATTCTGCTGGCATCAGAAAAAGAGATTTTAATTTAACATTCTTAGGGAAGCAACATCAAATGAGGTTAATGATGTAAGTTAACAGAGGAAAGCAACATGCGGATTTTTACTGAAGAGATTTGGGAATTCTGACTCTGAAAGCCTCAATCTCGATTTAACCATGAGAAGAGGGAATCCAAGGCCCGGACAGTTCTTTTCCTAGGGCAAGGTGGGGGTGGGGTGAGGTGAGGGGCGGGGAGAAGGGGGAACGATGGAAACAGCTAGGGAGATGCCTGAATTCAATGGTATCTTTGACTAAGCTTCCTCCTTCCCTCCATCCCTCCCTTTTGATGCTGTATCCTACACTGTCTGTTTAGAGTGCCCTCTTGTGTCTGGAGATGGTAACATTTTCATTTCTCAGCAGACATTCTAGTGGCAGCATCCATAAAATATGTAATGGCACCTTCTTTTTAACCACACTTGCTTCAGAGCCTATACCTAAAATTCAGGCACAGGTGGGCTAGGATTCCAGATTGCCCCCAGGTGCCAAAAAAGTGAAGCAAAGGAGAGAGAAACAGTCACTCCCAAATTTCCTAAACAAACCATAAAATAGCAAAAGATAATAATAATAAATAATAATTATTCAACAGATTAATACATTGCTCTCGCATTTTCCTGAAAGTACTGAGCCATCTTAACTGATCTAATTTTGTGAGAAAAAATAGGAAGAGCTGCTAGGTCCCAGGATTTCCCTTGTTAGCTCAAGAATTTGAGGCACAATTTTAATAGTATTCATTGCAAACTGTTAAAAGGATTTTTTTTTTCATCCTTTTCCCAACAAACCTTTATAACTCCTAAAGAAGTTTTCTGTCTGTTCTTTGTTTCCAAGAACCAAGTCCCCAAGCCTTGGAGGCAGATCAGCCCAAAGCAGAGTTTAATCTCATTACAGCAGCCCCTCAGGCAAAGGAACTCCCATCTGTACCCAGTCATGCTATCTGAGAAACACACAAGTTTCTCACAAATTGTTTTTGGTGATTGATTTTCAGAAGCCCCCTTGTCTGTGAACTCTACAGCTCAGAAGAGTTTTCGGTGCTACCACTAAGTTCAAGTTTCATAGGAGAAATTACTGCACACAGTTTTTAGAGAATACATAAATTCAATGGCAAATTTATTTACCTGAGAGAGTATGTAGATTCTGGCAAAAAAAAAAAAAAAAAAGTATTTCAGAACCATGACTGCAACCAGGACCAAAGACTCTCTACAGAAAATAAGTGTAAAAAAGCACTTCCTGGAGCAGTCCCACCCCCTGTGCCCAGAATGGAGGCCACATTTCCGCAGAGCTGGAATTTCTGGCTCCGGTTCTCTTCCCTCTGCCGTCACTGAACTGCCCCGGAGCCCGAGGGGAGGGCAGCCTCACTGAGGCTACCGGCTCTTGAGAAGCCTCAGCAACCAAAGCTGCGACAGCCCTGGGGACTGTGGGCCACACAGACAGCAGAAGCAAGAATTACAATCCTGCAGCCTTTGGAACAAAAACCACATTCACAGAAAGATAGACAAGATGAAAAGGCGGAGGGCTATGTACCAGATAAAGGAACAAGATAAAACCTCAGAAAAACAACTAAATGAAGTGGAGATAGGCAACATTCCAGAAAAAGAATTCAGAATAATGATGGTGAAGATGATCCAGGACCTCGGAAAAAGAATGGAGGCAAAGATCAAGAAGATGCAAGAAATGTTTAACAAAGACCTAGAAGAATTAAAGAACAAACAAACAGAGATGAACAATACAATAACTGAAATGAAAACTACACTAGAAGGAATCAATAGCAGAATAACTGAGGCAGAAGAACGGATAAGTGACCTGGAAGACAGAATGGTGGAATTCACTGCCGCAAAACTGAATAAAGAAAAAAGAATGAAAAGAAATGAAGACAGCCTAAGAGACCTCTGGGACAACATTAAACACAACAACATTCGCATTATAGGGGTCCTGGAAGGAGAAGAGAGAGAGAAAGGACCCGAGAAAATATTTGAAGAGATTATAGTCGAAAACTTCCCTAACATGGGAAAGGAAGTAGCCACCCAAGTCCAGGAAGTGCAGAGAGTCCCATACAGGATAAACTCAAGGAGAAACACGCCGAGACACATAGTAATCAAACTGGCAAAAATTAAAGACAAAGAAAAATTATTGAAAGCAGCCAGGGAAAATGACAAATAACATACAAGGGAACTCCCATAAGGTCAACAGCTGATTTCTCAGCAGAAACTCTACAAGCCAGAAGGGAGTGGAATGATATAATTAAAGTGATCAAAGGGAAGAACCTACAACCAAGATTACTCTACCCAGCAAGGATCTCATTCAGATTCTATGGAGAAATCAAAAGCTTTACAGACAAGCAAAAGCTAAGAGAATTCAGCACCACCAAACCAGCTCTACAACAAATGCTAAAGGACATCCTCTAAGTGGGAAACACAAGAGAAGAAAAAGGCCTACAAAAACAGACCCAAAACAATTAAGAAAATGGTTATAGGAACATATATATGGATAATTACCTTAAACGTGAATGGATTAAATGCTCCAACCAAAAGACACAGGCTCACTGATTAGATACAAAAACAAGACCCATATATATGCTGTCTACAGGAGACCCACTTCAGAACTAGGGACACATACAGACTGAAAGTGAGGGGATGGAGAAAGATATTCGAT